TCGTTTATGGCGATGTTGGGGAGGATGGTGCCTGACCATAAGTCGCACTCTGGAGGTGGACGGGAAGTTAGTTGATGTCTCACATACTCTTCCAAGGAAGGAACGTACTGATATAAGTCGTAGACTCAGGGTTGGGGCAATGGATGCCGTGAGGAGCATGGGCGGGCTGGCGCTCGAAGAAGATGGTGAAAGCATTGCACTTGGCGTCGTTGTCGCACTCGGCAGCACCTGAAAGTAGTTAGTAAACTTGTTGAAGCCATGATGCACTTGTTGGTGTGATGCTCTTCAGTGCGAAGTTGTACTCACACAGATCGACATCGTACGAGTCCATAGTCACGTAGTGGACGAACTGTGATGGTTCATCGTACGTGGTGAGGAGGTTGGAGTAAGACTGGACGTAGCCAGGGGGAGTGACGGCCGATGATGCAGCATCGGAGAAGGGAGTGTAGGCCTGGAAAGCCTCGGGGGTGTCCGGGAAGACTTTGGGGCCAGAGCCCGAGAAGAGAGGCTCGCAAACGGACTTGTTGCCGAAGTTTGCGAAGACGGTTGCCATCACCATAGTAAGAAGTCCGAAAAACTGGACTAGAGAGAACATCTTGTCTTTGATGTTCAATTTGTTGGTAATAGATGGAGAGAGAAGAGATGAAGAAGAAAGGAGGAAAGGAGAGGAAGGCAGTATATGTATGAATTCAGCAAGAGCTACGCGAAGATGCTAAGACTTAGGTTGTGGTTGAGAACGAAGGCAAGTATCCTCTATTGCCTTTGTTGAGCTGGGTCGTGCCCACTTCATCCATATGATACAATCGCGAGGCCTCCTTCTCGAGAACAAATTGGCGGAGCGAAGTGCCCACCTTGTGATGAACGCGCGTTCTGTTGGACCTGAACCGCCTCTCAGGAACGGGGGCTGAGCGGTAAATCGACATAACACGGCCCAGAAGCGGCTTTGTTCCCCAAATCGTGGACGGGGTTCCAGATTGTGACTATGAAGGAAGAAGATCGTGTCTTCTTTGGACACATTGCTGTGGATATTCGCGCAATCTTTTCTTCAACAACTGAACCTTCAAACGCGTATCGAGCTCTGCGTGATCCGGTTGACGAGGGTCAAAGTCATTGAGATACTGCAAATCTATTGCAGTTATGTAAGAGTTCCCTACTCTACTGAGCCGAGACCTAGGAATGTAATGGTACGAGTGGATCATCAGTAGTACGGCCATGCTTGGGTCGCGATCTGAGCATTACAACGGAGCACATGCGCAACACATTCACCAACGCCTGACCTGGGCCTCAAGATCATGGTGCATGTAGAAAGCAAGGAGGGAGCAGCTCGACGAGCGAAGGGCATTAGCTCCACTAGCTCCAGACCCGCCCAAAAACGTCATAGTCTCAACCAACCAGCGACGACCAGACCAACCAACATAGTACTCGCGAATAGCAGCAACAACTTGAGCAGGACCCTCTCAGATTTTTGGTCACGTCTTCCCTTCTATTACGAAGGTTTCCACACCCACAACCAGAAAACTAGAGATACGCGCAATCCTGCGGTGATGGGCCGCACTGAAAAATCTCAGGGTCTTGCGCCACCCGCCGTGCGCAAAGACATCCGAGCCAAACAAGCGCGGCACGTGGTGAACAAAGTCGTTCCTGCAATATTGGCATCAAATGCAAGAGCTAGGCGAGGTGCGGACGGGAGTGAGCTTATTCCGAACCCGGGGCCGAACGGCACAGTGGGGCAGGATAGTAAGAGTAGGGATGGTGCACGTGTTGAGGGTGGTGAAGATACGGGCTATGTGAAGAGGAAGGGTCAAGGGAGGCGGAAGGTCAAAGGTGGGAAAGACGATGTTGAAGAGGAGGATGCGAGGAATGGTGATGTGGGGAGAGATGCTGGCAAAGGAAGGGCAAAGGGAAGAGGCAAGAAACGCAATGATTCTCTCGACGAAGGGCTATCAAATCTCAACTTGAGTAGTACTGCAACATCAACACCCGATCCATCTAGGAAACCGCGATGCATACGCATGATAACGACGGATGCCCTCACAGCTGCACATATGCTCGCCAATCCCTCATTATACCATGCCACCGCGACCACCACATCAAAGCAGACGTCGAAGAAACAACCCAACCCATGTATCTTGAACATGGCGTCTCCCCTCCGTCCAGGCGGCGGTCTCCTAACAGGCGCCACTTCCGCCGAAGAATCCCTCTGCGCACGCACAACGCTGCTGCCCTCGCTCAAAGAATCCTTCTACCGCCTCCCCGAATATGGCGGCATATACACACACGACGTGCTCGTTTTCCGCTCTGCCCTTCCTCTCGGCGATAGCGCAGGTGAGCTTTCTCCCACGGAGCGCTGGTACATCGATGTTATTAGTGCGGGGATGCTACGATTTCCTGAACTAGAAGGGGAAGAAGAGGAAGAGAAAAGGTTAAGCAGGAAAGATAGGGATATTGTAGAGAGCAAGATTAGGAGTGTGTTGAGGATAGCGGAACAAAAGGGGGTTAAGGCGTTGGTGCTCGGGGCCTGGGGCGTTGGAGCGTATGGTAATCCAGTAAGAGATGTTGCGGAGGCTTTTGCGAAGGTCTTGGGTGGTGGTAGCTCTGCTTCTTCATCTGGAGGCAAGAAGAACAGCAAGTCACCACCGACTGGTGCTGAGACCTTTCCATCTATCGAGAACATCATCTTTGCTATTCCCCAACGCAAAGTCGCCAACGAGTTCGCAGCTGCGTTCGGCGGCAAGATCGAAGTCGAAGAAGGCCCTGGAGCTTCGGGAGACGATAATGACGAAGAAGATGACGGGGAAGATAAGGTAGCGGAAGAGTTGAGGAGCAAGATCCAAGAGATGGACGGCCAGATAAGTAAGGTTTGGAATCCAGATCTGAAAGCAAGGCTGGGCGTTATTCTGGATGGCTTGAAAGCGCAGTTGAGGGAGAGGGAGGGGACGCCTCGGACGGGTAGTGTGGATGATGAGGAGGAAGATGAGGACGGAGACGAGGACGATGATGAGGATGAGGGAGACACTGAAGACAGCTACGAGGCAGATGCGGATGAGGATGATCAAGACCTCGCTGGGCACAGGCACATAAGACCTGGCAAGCTGAGAAGTGTAGTTGATGACAGCGATGACGAAGACGACGATTAGCTCAGCTCTAGATATCTCGGGCAATGGAATCGACTGTTTCAAGAGATTTCTCACCACAGGACACGGACATTAGGACGTTGCTAGTAAGAATACATTGGTGGGTATCTCAAAACTTCTAGATGCTCGAACTTTTATATGTGAATGTAGCACATTTCAATGCGTCAACACTCAAGCAGAAGCACTAGCAGCAGCCGGCTCTTTCGACAAAGCTGCTGAATTTGTATCCTTGGTGCCGTTTGTGGGAGTCTCCTTATTGGGCTCATCGTCCTCCAAGCCCAGCTTCTTGAGATCCACGGCCAAAGGATCAGACTCTGCTGTGCTTTCTGTAGGGCCTTCGTATCCAGGTGGTGGCAACGCCCATTCAGGCAAGCCAGTCTCATAATCCCACTTCCCTTCCTCACACCTGTATCTGCGCGCGTGCAGGTAGATACCCAACTCATGGACCCCTGGATCGCTATACAGATCTGTATCGCAGACTTTGCATTTCTCCCCAGTCATTCGCTCCGCTTTCCTTTTGTTGTAGGCATCGACCATTTCGTCGTGGTATGCGACCGCGTCGGCGACCTCTTCCTTGCCCATGCGCGAGAGGCGGGACATGATGTCTTCGTCGTCTTCGTCTTCGGATTGTCCGCGGCCGAGGGCGGGGCCGAACACGCGCTGGTTGGCGTATATGGGATCGTTCGATATGGGATGACCGAGGAACTGGAGGTGGACGCGGAGCTGGTGGGTGCGGCCTGTTACTGGCATGCAGCGCACGATGGAGTAGCCGCGGAGTTTCTTCCATGGCTGACCGTTGGGGCCTGTCTCTCCATCCTGCTTCTCGCCATTGTTTCCGTCGTCTTTGGGTGGGTAGTATGCCAACCGCTTGAAGACCGTTTTCGCTTCCTTGCCGTTTGCGCGCACGCGGTTCAAACCGAGCTTCGGGCTGATCTGCAGGATAGGCTTCTCGCAGAGGATCTCTCCTTCTGGGAACTCGCCCACCACTCGCGTGATGTACTCCTTCTTGACCGTCCTCCCTCTGATTTGTGCACTCAGCTCCTCTGCCGCCTGCTTGTGCTTACCAATGAACATGATGCCGCTGGTGAGCCTGTCGAGTCGATTACACGGCAACGGGTTCCAGGTATAGCCACGATCGGCCCTCATGATCTCGATGATGGAGTTGAAGTTGTAGCGGCCGGCGGGGTGTACGGGCATTCCGGCGGGCTTGTTGATGACGATCATGTTGTCGTCTTCGTGGACGATGCCGATGGGCTGCGCGGTGCACGGAGGCTCGTGCCGGTGGAGGGTGTGGGATATGACATCGCCGTTCTTGACAATCGTCTTCGTGCTCGGGACTGGCTGGCCATTGATAACTACGCGACCCTCTTCTATGGCCTGCTTGTAGTACTCGGCGGGCCGGTCGCGGAACTCGCTAGAGAAGATGTCGAGAATTTCTCTGCCCCGCCATCTCTCCTTGCAGAAGGTGTTGTATGTGAAGTGGTAGGGCGTGACCTTGCGCAGGCCGTCTTCGAGGTAGTATGGGCGCGGCCAGGGATCGCAGGGCGTGATTGCGACGGCGGGGGGCTCCTTCCAGGGAAATTTGTCGTCGGGCAGGGGCGGGTATTTGTCGCGCGGGGGCGAGGGCACTAGGGCCATGGAGGGAGAGCCTGTGCGAGTCTTGGGCACAGGCAGGCGGCCCTTGGAGGCGAGGTATGCGAGGATGCGCGGAGAGGGCGCCAGAATCGCGGGGGAGAGGGGTTGAGGTGCGTGTGGGAGAAATCCATGTTGCGCAAGCCGAGGCTGATGGGTGACGCAGCCAACTAGCCCGTCGTCTTCATGTCCGGGACGCGTCTGCCTCCAACACCAATAACAAGCAGCGACAACATGGCACAGCAGGCATTGAAGTCGCGTACACGGGGCGACTACAAGTTTCAGCTCGAATACAGGACAAGATGGTGCGTGTCCTCGCGCGAAGCCCTTCTCGGTACTGACAGCAGGAAGGAGCGACAATGACATGTACCACCACATGAACAACAGCGTCTATTACTATCTGTACGTCTTCACCATATTATGAGATACTGATACTGACTATTGGAAGATTTGACTCCGTAGTCAATACATATCTCATCCAGCACTGCTCGCTGCACCCACCTACCTCCCCACAGATCGGCCTCGTCGTACATTCGCACTGCGATTACCTCGCCCCTGTCGAGTTCCCCTCCGTCGTAGACCTCGCGTTACGAGTCAATAAGCTTGGGAAGAGTTCCGTCACATACGAAATTGGTGTCTTCGAAAGAGGCCAAGAGGAGGTCAAAGCTGTCGGCGAGTTCATCCACGTCTTTGTGGACCGCGACAGTCGCCGACCTGGAAAGGATGGCATGAGTGAAGATCTCAAGGCCGGGCTGGAAAAGCTATTGGCAGAGAAGTCGAAGCTGTGATAGATACTGGAATGGGGCTTCGATCTGTGCCTACAACAACACCCACGACCCAGCCATGTTGGCTGTATAGAGATCATCCCTACAGACCTTGGAAGAGAATCCATCACGATTCGCCATCAACCGGAATCACACCAAATATCAGCGAAGAGGCACAGGCGGGGTATCGGTTAGCCATACTTCGGCAATGGATACCCGAAACTCCTATCCTGCATTGCGTTCAGTTGTCTCCAGCACTAGAGATGGCGTTGCAAGACATACCTCCTCACACCAAAGTCCAACAGTTCTTCTCGCGTCGTATTGTCTTCCCCTTCCTCTCTGCATAACACCCTACAGCTCAAATTCTCAGCTTCGACACCTCAAAGACGCAACACCATGTCCACATCCGCAATCCAAGGCCCCGGCATCCTCTTCGTCCGCTCCCGCATCTCGCCTTCCGCCAACGACATACTCTCCGAGCCCACTTTTCTCGCCTGGTACGACAACGAGCACATACCCGAAGTAGTCTCTACATCCGGCATCGACTCTGCTTTCCGCTTCATCGATACCCACAAGTCCTCACCTATTGGCAACGAGCAAAATCCGAAACCATTCCTAGCATGCTACCCCATGGATGATTTGGCTTTTACGCTAGGTGATGAGTTCAAAAAGATAGGGTTCAAGAGCAATGCGTTACCCGGTAGTGGTGTGATTTATGATTTGGCGGATATGGATGTTAGTTACCTGGGTATTGTGGGTAAGACACCGAAGAGAAGAGAGGGAGAAGGAGGTGGGCCGAAGTATGTGATCACGTCAGGTTTTCGACCGGAAAAGCAGCCAGCAGAAGGACAGGTCACTGCGTGCTTCCAAAAGGTATGTAACCCCCGTACCGACCCAGTCAGTATTTTATGTAGACTCGATACTGACGTTAATATCCTAGCAAATCTCGACGCTCGAGAAGTCACCGCAGTATATCCGGACACTACGCTTCAAACTCCTCTACGCGAGGACGAATGCGCAGTCTCGCGCTCTCAAGGGCCTGCCAACGACAGACGAACCGCATCCCCAACCGTCGACTTGGATGGCTATGCATGAGTTTGCGGATGTACCGGATGAAGATTTTGCGAAGGCGCTGAATGATGGTGTGAGCAAGGCCGCTGAAGAGGGTGATTGGTGCGAGACGGAAATCGAGACGCTTGTTTGGAAACTAGATCGTATGCATGGGGATGGGAAGTTATTTGAGTAAGATTATCTCAGATCCAAGATGTAAACAAAAGACTGTTATTGTGTGGTGCAACAATGACCGGGTGATACCAGCACTGCAAGCACTACTGATATTCCGACTCTCCCTTCGAAACAAGTTTGTTTTTGTACGGAAAAACACTAACGCTCAATGTTCATGTCCATGCTCATGATCATGATCATGATCATGTCCATCCCCCTCCTTCTCGTCCCACGGATGCCCCTCACCAACACCCTCCCAAGGATCACCCTTCCACGTCATCCAAGTCTGATGGCCCCTAACATTTGCCTCCAACTCCCCACACCTCCTCTGCTCCCAACTCTCTTTACCCGCTACAACAGCCCAATGTTTCTGCGCCCTACCCGCCCAGTACTTCGCGCGATCCTCGATTCCGAAACTACTCCACGTATACGCCAGGATCTCTTCGTACTGGGGTAGTTCGGTTAGGAGACCTTCTTCCTCCAGATGCTCAATGAGTTTAGGGAGGAGGCCGAGAAGCTGCGGTGAATCTTCTGGGTCGGTGGGTAGAACGGATTTCAGGGCTTTGATCTCAGAGAGGCGATCGTTGGATGCCATTGTTGCGTCGTCGTCTGCGGTGCATAGAGGGCAGGCGCAGGTGAAACCAAAGTTCGCTTCTATAGACTTCACGCGACGTCGGCGAGCACGTTTTTCGAAGCCATCTATGGAGTGATTAGAAAAGTCTTTCCGTTGAATTCTTCGGCGGATAGTTACTTACAGCTTCGCGTAATCTCTTCCCCGGGCTTGATGTCTCTGAGAGCGAAGACTTCAAATGAGAGGGTGTAGTCGTCGAAACGCCATAGAGTGTTCGGTCGACAGGCGTGGTTGATGCGCTATACTGAAGTTAGCATATACTTCAAGGATAGGCTATCAGTCATGACTTACCGCAGCCTCGGGAATAACTGCCAAAAGCTGGGGCAGCTCATCAACCCATGGCCATTTCACAGCAATGCCGTTCGTCGTGACAATGTCCTCGACAGTGCCATCCACATTGACGTCCAATTTCTTGACCATCTCTTTAGTCTTCTCCGGCAACTGATCGACTGCCTGTTTCAACACGAGCTGTGGCCTCGGCATCTCCGGTATCTCCAGTATCTGTTTAGCGACGAACAGCACAGGAGTCTGCACAATCAAGCTCTCGCCTGGAAAGATCCCGGCGATATCTTTCTTTGCAAACAACCCTTTGCCCTTCTCTCCTGCGTATTTGACCTCCCACATACCCATCTCTTCACCCACTTGGCCTTCCATGCCCCCAATGCTCATGCCAAACGTCTCCATTGTCACGCTAGCCGCGACTTCGGGACTCACAACAAAGCTGATTCCGCGACCGTTGTTGTAGTTGGCATTGGTGTAGGCGCAGAATGTCTGATGAACATCTGATCCTGTGCTCTCGTTCTCTCTACTTGGTGTTACGATGTCTATGCATGTCGGGTGATGCGTCCATGGGAAGGTATCGGAAGTGTAGCCATCCTGAGCCACGGGGCAAACTGTTGCAGGCTTATTGATAAGGCCATCCTGAATAACGGGACTGCGTGCTGTGTAGAAAAGTTCCGCTCTGGCAGTCGATGCGCAGAGAAGTGCTGTGGAGACGGCGAAGTAACTGGGTGAATGCCGTCGCCGCGGCCATGTTGCTGTGACCATCTTCCAAGCTCTTTACTTTCTTAACTACCTTCCTGGAATGATGCCGAAAAAGAAAGAAAGTCCAAAAAAGCCAGACGTCAACATCTTCTACGTCGGAAGAATTAATCGCGCGAGATAGGAAGCCACGTTTCACGAGTAATCACGAGTAATGATCTCCGAAACCCCTGTTGCTGAAACGTGCTGGCTGCTTGGCGGTTGCATTGCGCCTGCATCTAGATTGTCTTGGGGATGCATGAGGCCAGTGAGGTTTGGGGCTGTTGCCGTCGTTTGATGAGATAGATGACCCGGCAGAGTGGGTTGATGTGGGGAGGACTAGCTTCAGCGCCGGGAGAGTCGGTTGAATGGCGCACGTGAGGCGTGAGAACATCGCGCCTTCCCACTCTACCTAAACGAGATCCTCAGCCGACAAACCACGACTTTATCGTATGACATCTAGGGTGTGTGTAGACTCTACTTTTCAGCTAATGCGATACTTGCGTAATGCGGGTCGCGCTCCAACAGTGTGGTCCTGGCTTGGGCCGGCCAACCCAATGCCAGAGACGATACCACGGAGGATCCATCATACCGAGTAATGTGTCGGACTGCCATCGAGCACATGGCAATCTTTAGCTTCAGCAAGCGCCTCTCAATATAGTTAGCAAACACGTTCTTGTATGAGAAACAAGACGTAGTCCTCGTTCATGGACACAACATCTGACATACTTTGACGTGCGACAAGCATGGAAGATTGCTTGCATCACCTAAGTCAAGTAGCAAACCGTGTTCGTTATAAGAAAGCAGCCAGGCCACCACTCTCCGTAAATCAGTTCACTGTACCGAAATGACGATGAGCGAGATTACGACCAACCCGACAGCAAACGAAGAGCTCCGTGCTCGCCTTACTGAACTCATGAAAATCGACACAGACATGTCGGCTCTAGAAAAGAAACAGCTAATTAGTAAGTCGCTCCGCTAACTCCCCTATCCCTCATTTGTTGCTCTTACCACAAGGTCTGGGCCGATTGTTGAGCTTCAGCAGCGAACCTATGTTTCATCGTCGGCGCTCACCAGCACCCGACGTTCGACCGACAGACCGTGTACCTAGTGTTAGGGCAGCATGTCGACCGACCTGGGTTCTCGATGTATTACATTGATGGCCACAACAAGATCGAAGGCAAAAGAACTCTCTCGAGAAGATGCATTGGATGGGCTACGAACTGAAGTCGAAAAGCAGGTTTTGAGTATATGCCGAAGGCCTTGAAGTCTAGCATGGTGCGTTTCTCGGGACTAAGTATCAAGTTTTATCTCTGTTCATATAGCATCAGCTGTTGATGTGTAACTTCCAATCGTGTCTTCCTCTGCCAGCTCTAGACAGTTTTCATCCAGCTCGGTTCCTCCTGCTCAAAAGACTTGAACCCTGGAGCGGGAATCTTATCAAACAGTCCACCCTTCAACGCAATCTTATCGCCAGCCAGTACAGACGTGATTGGGCTTTCTTTAGTTAGTCAGGCTTCTCCCAAATGCTACATGGGCCATCAACTCACCACCCGCAGTTGCTGCAGAATTGGCGAGTAATAGGGTTCCCGCTCTTCGTGTCGTTGTCCCGGTAGTCTTTGAGATACTTGTTCGGATCGTTGATTGTGACTTGGGGACTGTCGAGGATGTATACGATTGATCCGATGCTTCCTCCTGCGCGGCGGCAGTTGGCGCTTCTACGGTCAGTATGAAGATGCCGGTGTAGATTGTAGTGATTATGCATACCAGTAGCAGATAGCGGACTGCTCAGGCATGGAAGGCATGGAAACTTTGATGCTTCCGCAGTTGCAGCGTCCCTCGGCCATCGTGATTGAATGCGGAACGGTGCTTTCTCGGTGAATAGTGTACTGGAAGTCTTATATCCTGCAATGCTCAGAGGATTCGAAATAGGCAAACTTTGACGAGAAGATGGGAACAAAGATCTCGCAGAAAGGAGGTGCTAGTTAGTGGATTAGAGACAGAGACTGTTCGGGTCTTATGACGTGTTATCCATAGCGTGGAGTTGCGGAGTAGGCCTCGGCAAACTAAACAGGGCGAGTCGCTGCTAGTAACGCGCATCGTGAATCACTATAGCCGTCCAGGATTGTGTTATTGCTTCATTGAGTCG